CCATTGGAAACGATAAAATTTTACATGTGGATATACTAATGACTGACTAGATCAATATCAAGTGTATATGTAAAACAAAATATCAAGGTAATGTCACAAATATGTAAAATGTGATGTCATCAAAGAAAAATTTTTATTTTTATTAAGTTATTATTTATTTATTTATTTTGTTTTCATATGCAAGAGCGTTGTGCTTCTGTATACGTAAGTGCAACCATGGGAGCAATGTCTGTGGAGGCAGGCAGACAGTGTGGGAACCCCCAGTACAGGTGTTCAGTACAGTTGTTAGCACCATGTGGGTACTGCAAGTTGAAACAAAGTCCTATGCAAGAGCAGCCAGTATTCTTTACCTCTGAACCATCTCTCAAGCCCCAAGAATAAAAACTCACAATGAACTACTCCTGAACTTCAGCCTTTAAAAGAAAAACTTATTTATGCTTCCCTCCGGCCTCCCAGATTCTGTCCATGAAGCTATGTGGAAGTATCAGTGCCGTTTCAATGAACAGTTGCAAGCAGAAGAGAGTGAGGCTGGGGGTCAGGTACTAGTGCTTCTGAAAGACAGCTTAGTTTAGTCTCTATTCCAATGGATGAAAACCATCTTACTCTGCTTTCTTTAGGTAAGTAGGTGAGGCAGCTACAGTCCGATGATTGTAATAGAAATTCTTGATCTTGTTGGCAGGGCGGGCCACTTGAAGGAAGAAAAGCAGAAACTTCTATGGGGTCTCCATGTTGAGCTTTCTTCCTGTGCTTCTACTGTGACAGCAGACAGTATAACGGCCTATTTTGTTTTCTGAGGTGCTACTTCCTCTTGTTATATTGGAAGGTGAAGTGAATTTTCAGTGAACTGAAAGGAAGTTTCTTGAAAGAGAGAGAAGAGTGTTTATGTATTGCCTGGAAAGAAACTCCCAGAAGGAGAGATGGCTTCTTTTCAGGTAAATACATCCAAGGCCTGGACCACGTACACTTATTTTCCCTAATGTTTGGTAGATTAAACTTGTAATCTTTACTCATCCAAAAACCAGCTATGTAGACCAGGCTAACCTGGATCTCACAGAGACCCTTGTCCCCCTTCTTCTGGAGTCCTGGGGGTAAAGGCCCACACACCATGCCCAGGGAACACAATATGTATCACCTATGTAGCATATCCACCTCTCCATTTTGTCCTCCAGTGCTTATGTTTTTCAGACTAATCCATTGAATTCATGACCAGCCATCTCAAAAGTGTTACTGAGATGATTGGTGAAAATTCAAATATGTCCATCTGCAGTTCCTAAGGAGGATGAACTTGAGTCCTAATATGCCACTGTATTGTTGTTTGAACTATACATAAAACTGATATTTTTGTTTTATGTTATATGGACATTGTATTACTTTGCTCAACATTTAATCCCACCAACATCACAGGGCTGATGGAATGTGCCGCTGGGTTTGTTGACACCTGTATTCTTTTGTCTCCTGGGAGTTGATTCCCTTGGTTAAAGTGCTCTGCACCAAACACCAGACCTTGACATCATTGATTTTAACTTGTTAGGAATAAGTTTTCTTCTGGTAGTATACAGAATGAAGCACACGAAATATGACATTTAATGCAGAATCTCTCCTTTCATCACTATTAGTTTTCTTCCGTTCTTTGGTGAAAGAAACCTTTCTCATTTCTTTGCTAAATGCTGAGTGTCCAAGTGTAGATTCTGAAGCAGACATCTTTCTCACTGTTGGCTCAATCACAGCAATACCTCATTTACTGGTTATTTCATCCTCAGAAAAGAGCTCTCTTTATCAACTTTTACACACATGTAGTTTTCTGATTTTGGAAGCATTTGTGTATGCAGCGTCAACATTGTTCAGCTGGCACTGGATCATGTTTTCATGTTTTTGTTACTCTTTGGTGAGGAGCCCTGTTCTCAAATCCTCTTGTTGTGAGCATAAGTCAGCCAGTGTGTTCCTTCTAGGTACACATTAATGTTTTCATGTTTTTGTTACTCTTTGGTGAGGAGCCCTGTTCTCAAATCCTCTTGTTGTGAGCATAAGTCAGCCAGTGTGTTCCTTCTAGGTAAACATTAGGTACATAAATGACAATAGATGAAATCACTATAAAAGTATTGTTAGAATAATGATGCCCTGATGTTTCTGTAATATCTATATTACATGAAGGTGTAGGATTTTCTGTACAAGGATTGTGTCTTTTTGCTGTGGAGGAGAACACATACAGTTCTTTATTTCTTGCAATGTTCTAATCAGTGCTGTTGGAGAACATGTCTTTTGCACCTGAGGCATTGGCCTCACAACAAAGGATTAAGGAAAGGGTTAAGTCAGGTCCAGCTTCAAAAACTCTGTGTTTCAGCTAGGACTAAAGTGCATGGTTATAAACATTTGAATTTATGAAGCAGACTCATAATAAGTGTAACTTTACATCAGATAAATATATACAACTGGCCTTGTATGCTACTAATATAGGAGTGAAATGCAATTCCTATGTTGGTGGATTAATTTATGTGCTATGCTCCTTACAAGCATAATATTCACAAAATTTGGAGGGTCTGATGCTATTCTTTTTTTCACAGAGTTTCTGAATAGATTATAGATAGTTACTCCAGTACAAAATATCCTTTTTATTAATTCAGATTTCTCATTAAATTCAGAAATCATTTACTAATTATCTTTTTCTTTCTTGGGTCCAGTATCCTGTTTAAGTGCATATGTTATAATTGTCATTTTTCATTTTAGCATCCATTGACATTCAAGGATGTGTCCATAGAATTCTCTCAGGAAGAGTGGGAATGCCTAGATTCTGCTCAGAGGGCTTTATACAGGGAATTGATGTTGGAGAACTACAGCAATCTGGTGTCTATAGGTGAGGAGATTTTTCTTGGAGAAGTTTTACTATCCTGCATCCTTGGACAGAGTATAGCTTACTTTGTGCATATGTTAGTTTTGTTAATGAAGTCTTGGATTCCTTAAAAATTAGTTCATGGGAATGTCTGGGCATCCTACAGCAATTTGGTGTCTATAGGTGAGGAGATTTTTCTTGAAGTTTTTACTATCCTGCATCCTTGGACAGATTATAGCTTACTTTGTGCATATGTTAGTTTTGCTAATGAAGTCTTGGATTCCTTAAAAATTAGTTCATGGGAATGTCTGGGCATCGTGAAGAATATGTTTATGTTTTATCATTTCTTTCCATTTCCACTTGTTAGAGGAATTATCCATTTTTATTATTTTTGGTCTTAATTTCAGCCATGCATTGGCACATGATACTTTAGCCCTGTAGCCAAAATCTCATTTTTAAACATATATTTTATTTTTATTTTATGTGTGTAAGTGTACTGCCTACATGTATATGAGTGCACCAGCATCAGATTTCCCCTGGAACTGGAGTCAAGAATGGTTTGTAGCTGTTATGTGGGTGCTGGCAATCGAACCCGGATCCTCTGCAAGAGTAGTCAGTGTCCTTAACTGCTGAGCCATCTCTCCAGCCCCTGTAGCCAGAAACTTAAAGTTCTATCGCCATAGCCAAATTGTGAATCAGCGATAGAACTCACCATATGAAAACTTAAAAAATTCCTATGGATTCTAATGAGACTGTAAGAAAATAAAAATTATGAAATTATTTGGAGATTCTGTTGTTTTTCTGAATATTATCAATGGAGCATAGTGCTGTGTTACAAATCTGGTACTTTCTAAAGAGTCCAGTAAGCGTCTTGTGCCTCTTTCCCATACACAGGTCTTGCTGTACATAAGCCTGTTCTGGTCTCCTGCCTGGAGCAAAGTGAAGAGCCCTGGAATGTGAAGAGAGGGGAGACGGTAGCCAACAAGGTAAGTTTAAGTGGATGAATAAAGGGCCCAGGTGAGAGGACCTTAGTAAAGAAGGATAAAGACCTGAAAATGGGTTTGCCGCAGTCTATTTCATGAGAAAGAGATTCTGATATCCATGAGATAAGATTTCTTGCAGCATGACTTTCCAACTCATGGTTCAGTATTGTCATTATCTGTTAGTCTCTGAGCCCCATGGATACTAGACTGAAACCTCTAAATATGGAGCCAAAGTTTAATGTTAATCTGCTGAATAATTTTTCTCAACTGTAGATCAGATGAAAGCAATACACAATGGACTGTGTGGTAATATGAGAGAAAATAGATAAAATTCTATTTCAAATTTGAAATAAGCTAATAATATAGAGATTACCTTAGTTGCCAAGCATGGTGGTACATACCTTTAATCTCAGCACTTGAGAGGAAAAGGCAGGTTGATCTCTGTAAGCCAGCCTCATCTCACTAATGAGTTCCAGGACAGCTGGGGCTACAGGGAGACCCTATCTCAAAAAGTTAAAAAAAAAGATTACCTTAGTTATCACTATACATTATCCTTGGAAAATAAGAGAATGGATATAATATGCTCTGATCAAAGAATTCTAATAATGTGAAGGAGGGTGCATGTTCACTACAGCGCATAAGTCATGTACAGTGTGTTCTTCACACATCATGATGTGCATCACAAATTCATAGCACATTTCACAAAATAAATAAATTATCATAATCAAAGTGTGAATTGTCTTTACCTATAAGATCTTTTCACCTTGAGAAATGTGACATGAGAGTGATGGAAAAATTTTGAACTAATCTAACCTTTCCTCAGGTATTTGCTACTCTAGGTTTGTGACTATAGAAAAAGATTTTATGTACTAATGTTTGAGAAGTCATAATCTTGCCTCCTAATTCTTTTTAAAATTGCTTGCTATTTATTCATTTTTAGGTTATGTGTATCTGCTGGATAGCTTTACTGTACAGTTGACAGCCTGGGATGTGGGAGCTTCAATTGCTGAATTTCGTCCTTTGGTCTGGGCTGTGGCTTTATTTGTAGAGCACCATCTTCATTAGTTAGTGATGTGGGAGGGTTCCAGGTCCCACCCACTGAAGGTTGTGCCACCCCTGGGCAGGTGAGCTTATGTTGTATAAGAATACAGGTTCTTCAGAGGTCAGGGGAGTAACCCAGTAAGCAGTCTTCCTCCCTGGTCTGTGCCTCATCTCTACCTCCAGTTTCCTGTCTGAGTTCCTGCCTTGGGCTCCCTGATGAACTGTGACCCAGAATTAAGATAAAATAAATGTTTTTCTCCCCAATTTTGTATTAATCAAAGTATTTTGTCACAGAATTGGAGAAACAAAGTAGAACGAAATTGGTACCAGAGCATTGGGCATTGCTTTGACAGTCTCTAAGGGCAGTTTGTGTGATTTCTTGAATTGAGAACCTTTGGTTTCTGTTCATCTGGCACTGAAGAATCAGCTGTGATTAAGAGACTGAAGTTAAACCTTTGCTTTATGGGGACAATTGATGCTGGTTAGCTGGGGCTGAAAAATCAGCTGCAATTAATATGAGACCAGCATCACTTTGGCAAAATCTTCTGGAAAGTATTTCCTCAGGGTCAGCACAGGACCTGGGATCCAGAGGGGGTATGGGACCCCCATCTCCAGCTGGAAGCAGGACTTGGTAATGTGTAAGAGTCTTCTGCATGGTT